AACCAAAGTCACACCCACATGTTCGATTACCATTCCACGGGTGGAACTCTGTGGGGCGGTCCTAGCTACGACACTTGCTAGTTGGGTGCAGAAGAACCTGAACGGAATACATAATAAGGTTCCTACTTTTTATTGGAGAGACGCTATTATATTGCTCTACTGGATCCAGGGTGATATTAACAAGTGGATAACTTACGTTCAAAGTCGCATAAGCATAATTCTTTCTACGAGTACACCAAACCAATGGAATCATGTGCGTACTAATGATAATCCCGCAGATTGCGGAACCTATGGTCTTACTCCAAAATAACTAAAAAATATGGAGTTATGGTGGAGTGGACCTGTATGGTTGAAAAAGCTTAAGACTACCTAGAAGAAATGCATTATTAGCGAAACGAACATTGATAGAATAGCAATAGAAGAAAGGGTTGTCAAGGTCAACGTCATGTAACCATCATTGAAAGTCCCTTGTTTTAGGGCTGCCAGATATCTCCGTTGCCAAACCGGGACACTTTGGTAAATCTAACACAATTGGCACAGAGAATTTTTCACAATGCATGCAACATTTTTTTGTATTAATTTTTATAAAAATACAGTTTATACTACATCAAAAAACATAAAAATAAAATTTCCAAACTTTGTGCAAAACTCAGAAAATTTCAAGGAATTTTGAAATTTTTTTTTTTTTGTTCCATACAAACTATGTTTGACAATTCCTTTTGTATGGAAGACACTGCCAGCAAAAACAAAATTGCTAAAAATCAACGCGATTTTGTAGCAACTTCAGACTTGCACTTTATTAATTGGCTAAAAAGCTACATTTCCAAAAATATGTGATGAAAAATTCTCTGAGCTAATAATTTTGTACGATACTGTACTTATAAGTAAACTAGGTTCCATGAAAAAAAAATCATTAAAAAATCAGTCATATTTTTCGTTGCTGTGAGTGTTTTTCAACTTCTGACTTTTCCTTAATATAATTGTAAAACTCTGTACACGTAATTTTTAACGTATGTATTTACCTATATTGAGCGAATTTCTTTCCTTAGTCCATTGAGATGAAATAAGGGAAAAAATTCCTCTACATTAGGAGGTTTGGCCAAGGTGTAAGTATTAAACAAGATGTGATGGACAACCCAGTGATACTCTCTTTTAAGGTAATATAACGTCAATAAATATAAACAAATGGCAACTCTTCTGTTAAAGCGGGAAGGAATTTATACATTCTCTTTGGCATTTTCTAGGCGTAATTAAAACACTATAAATACATATTTTTATATTATATAAACTTTGTCGCGAAAGCTTACATTGGAAGTAAAGCACGCACGAAAATAAAACGAGCAAATAAAAATTTCTGCAATTAAAATCTGCACACTTAAGTGAAATCCGGGGCATTTTAAGGTTGGACTGGGACACGGGGACAAACAATCTAAAACCGGGACATGTCCGGGAAAACCGGGACGTCTGGCAGCCCTACCTTGTTTCGATACTCCTCTTATACCAAACTTTTACGCATAACAACCCGGCTGTCTCGTTTTATATATAATCTTAAAGCGAAGTCAAAAGGTGACATGGAAACTTGCATATATGGACCTCTTACTTCAACTAAGCTCCAAAAAAGTCTATTCTCGATTGTCAAAATTGTACAATCGGACGCATTTGGAGGCGAAATTGGAGGAGCGAACAAAGTAATTCACGGCAGTGCTGCCGTTTGCCGATTTTCGAGCGAAGTGAAAACACGATAAAAGTGAAGTGTTTCGGAGTGACTTGGGAGGAAAAGTGAAGTGATTATCGAAGTGACGCATGAACCAACAAAACAAAATCACCCATTCAGCGAAGCAGGAAAAAAACAAGCAAAGAAAACGAAAATGGCGCGGTATTCGAGTGCGATTATATTAGCATTTATAATAAAATATAATAAGTTAAACTGAATAAAAATGAGCCAAAGGTGTTCATAATACATGGTTTTCGTGATAGAAAGTGTTTTGCAACCACGCACAGTTCAATTTTTCAATGCCAAAGCTCTGACTACAAAATTGCACCCACTTTTCACGCAAATTTACGCCTCTTGGCAAACCAAACCAACGCACAAACTTTTTCAAATCACAAAGCACTTCATTTGATATGATAAATTCGTAATAAATCAAAATTTATAATTAAAATCGCGACAGAAAACACATCAAATCGCTAAAAAAAAAATCACTACGAAGAGATAGAAGACGATGTAAACAAAACCAAAAAACATTAAAAACGCTACGAAAGCTTTTTTCTGATAAACGATTACAAATACACCGATGGCTGATTGGGTGATCTCTAGTCGTTGGTTTATGGAGGTGACGACTGTCATGTACAATTAGGGATGTGGGGTTTTTCGGTTAGGTTATTTATCACCTGATTGGTTAATCGATTATTTTTTTATCACAATAAAAGTAATGTAAACCTTAATTAATTTATAATTTATTGTGTTCCTCTGCAAATTTAGTGCCGGAATA